GCAAGATATGACAAAATAATAATTTATAAATTATCAAGGGCTCATGAGGGAGGGGGGAGTGGGGAGGGAGGGGAAAATGAGGAGCTGATGCCAGGGGCTGAGGGCAAATGTTTTGAGAATGATGAGGGCAATGAATGTACAAATAGGCTTTACACAATTGATGTGTGTATGGATTGTGATAAGAGTTGTAAGAGCCCCTAATAAAACAATTAAAAAAATACTTCTATGTAACTTGTGGTGACAAGAAGAAATCACATGGAGGTTTGAATATATTTTACACACCAAATATATCTCAATTTGTATTATATAGTTAAAGCTGTACCAAGAGAAAAGTATAGTCTTAAGTGCAATATTGAAAAAGAAAGCCTGAAAGTACCTACGCACATATCTCAAGAAAGTAAAAGGAATAAATAAAGACAAAAACAAAAAAAACAAATTTCTATTTTACATAGATTCTCTGATTCACTCACATTAGACAGTATAAACAAAGCCAAAATTTACTCTTTGCAACCATTAACACGATCAATAAACCTATATAGCAAGACTAAGTAAATGGAAGGAAGGCACAAATGACCAATATTAAAATAAAGTTTGGGTGTCATTAAAAATCCTATTGGATTTTTTTGTTAACATATTTATACTAATAAATTTTAAAGTTCTAATAAAATAAATTCCCCACAATACACATTTTTTCCAAAACTAGCCCAATAAGGAATGGAAATTCTGAATATTCATGTAACTTTTATAAAGTGAATGGATCCTTTAAACCTTTCCCACAAAGAAAAGTCCAGGCCTCATATAGCTTCTCTGGGGATTCTGTAAAACATTTAAGGAGAAAAACGCATGATTTACAATCAGTTCTAGAGAATATAAAACAAATACTTCCAACTCCTTTTCCAAAATCAGCATACCCTTGATTCAAAATTTGACAAGGAAATATATTACAAGAAACATAAACACAAAAATCCTAGGCAAAATATTTGAAAACCAAGTACAGAGATAAATAAAAAGGGAAATACACTATACCTTGGGCTGACCTCGGGGTCAGCAGTTGAAAACCACCAGCTGCTCTGAGAGAGAAAGATGGGGCTTTGTGCTCTCAGTTTTTAATATTTCCTGCTTTCCTTTCTACTGAGGTTTTGACCTGATTTCCTTTGTTATTCTTGTTAGTCTTTAAAATGTTTTTCTGTATATGAAATCCAGGAGCAGTAAGTCTATAGAGACAGTAACAGGGTTAGTGGGCCCCTGGAACATGGCGGTGGAGGTGGGGAGGAAATGGGGAGCTAATAAGGATGAAGAACGTAGAATGCAGCGGAAGCATGGCCAGGTGACTGTGATGGCAAAGTTAACAAAGGTCACACAGCTAGAAACACTTATTCGAGGACCTCAATGCACCACGTACAAATTTCAGCTAGTCTGAGGCTGCCGTGTAAAGCGATTAACCAGAGAGAGGGAAAGGGAGAGACAGACAGAAGGACAGACATGGCCAAGGATTCCCCACTGTTCCCACCCTCGGTGTGGGAGCCTTCCCAGCACTAAGAAAGTAGCTCTTGTGGTGGCTGTAGCCTCAGCCCCTCTCAGACAACAGCAGGCTGAAAACCCAGAGAGAGAGTGACCTCGCTGAGCCGACAAGTCCCTGCCTGGGCGAGCAAATTCCTCACTGAGACTATTTGAAGTTATGTATTATTCTACAATAACAGATAACTGGGACACATCTCAAAGTACTTAGGTACCAAAAAGGAAAATAGAAAATGCCCCCCCCCAAAAAAGTGTTGTCTAGTACTAGGTTCATAAATGCAACAAGGGACTTGCAAGTTGAACTTAAAAGCTGAAGAGAAAAATACGGTTAAGGGTTTCTAGGACCTCAAATTACACTTGACTCAAGACAACAGAATAAAATGAATCACCAGGGCGAACTTTGACAGTGGACGCCATTCATCCTGTTTGACGTCTCAATAAAATGACACGGGGTTGGGGGGGGCGGGAAGGAGGGTTTATGGAGTGCTTACTAGTTGCCAAGACAGGTGCCAGGTGATTTACCTAAAACGACTTATCTGAGCCTCACAACCACCCCATGAGGTGGGTTTTCTGATTCCTGCATTACAGAGGTAGCTCAGGGAGACTCTGTAACTTGTCCCAAGTCCTGCCTCTGCACTTTGAGTGGCATTCTCCAGGAGGAAATCTGATGAGGGTGACTCTTTTCAAAAGTCCTTCAGGGTTGTGTGTGGTGACCACGGTGTCCTCTTCTGTGTCCGCTCCTAGCAGGTGGGTGAGCCTTCCTGTAAGGAAGTAGCTGTGCAGACGGTGACCTTCCTGTGGCTATTAACGAGGGCCAGAGTATATCAGCCAAAAGGACTGTCCAAAGATCCTCAGAGTTCAGGAGTTTGGGTCGGGGCCAAAGGGGCCTTTCCCTTGGACATAACTGGAGAGTTGCTCGGAAGAGGAGCTGTAGACGCTGTGAAAGAAAAAGAGGAAAGCGCTCAGCATCGTGGCTCCAGGGAATTTGCCCAAGTGCAACTGGAAGCATTCGTGGTTTCATTGCGTTCTGTCCGTTCTCGGTCAATG